ACTTCTTGACCATCCCACCTCTAACACCACAAGCTAGGAAGATTGTAAATCAGAGGCCAGACTCTAGACATTCATGGAGAAAATTTACAAAAAAAATATAAATAAATAAAAAATAATAATAAAAAAAAGGACAGACTCACACTCAGGTCTACCGAGGCTTTCCAGATTACAGGGAACCCCCCAACTCACTGCCAGGTGTTTTAGACATCCCCATGTCCACCCTTCTGACTACCTGTTCTGCCTCCACAGATCTTGCACCCTGAGGAATGCATGTATGCTGTGGGCCAGGTATACTTGACCAGGGAAGCCACATGTTGACATACCGCTTCCCTTTGTTCTCAGCCAAGAAGTTGGTCTCACAACCTTCTGCATCTGCTTCCTCAGAATAGTATTCTCAGGGAGGGGCAGGCCTTGGGATTCTACCAGTCCGGAAGACCCTGGGGAGCAAGTAGATAGAGGTGTTTCCATGCTTGGTGCCATTGGTTGGGGAAAATCAGGCCTGATGTCCTAGGGTGTTTTTCCATCAGGGGGCCTTGGGTGTGGAAGTCCGAGCCAAGGACCAGGACATCTTGGATTTGGTGGGTGTGCTGCATGATCCTGAAACTCTGCTTCGCTGCATCGCTGAAAGAGCCTTCCTGAGGCACCTGGTAGGTAGGACCTGTGCTCCACCTGTGGAGGGCTGGGGACTTGGAGAGCTGGGAATGGTGGTGGGGAGATTTCTCACATGAATGCTTTGTATATAGTGCTAACTCATTCTTGCTGAATGTTGTGTATGGAGAGGACCAGGTATGGGCCCACAGTTGCCTTTTCAGTGGTGTCCTCAGGTCTGTGGTCACAGGGTGGTATTAAGAGCCCTTGGAGCTCATAGCAACTTCTCATTGCAGGAAGGAGGCTGCAGTGTGCCAGTAGCTGTGCATACAGCTATGAAGGATGGGCAAGTAAGCAGGGGAAAATGGGTGGAAAGGCAGGGAAGGGAGGACTGTGGCATTTCTTCCTGTGCATCCAGGCTTCTAAGCAGTCCCCTCTCATACTGTGTTGAGGCAACTGTTTTCTTCCCCAGCTGTACCTGACTGGAGGAGTCTGGAGTCTAGATGGCTCAGATAGCATACAGGACACCATGCAGGCTACAATCCATGTCCCTGCCCAGGTACCAAAGCTGAAGGGTGAGGGGGGTAATAAACAAGAGTGCATGTAATCTCTCTTGTTCTCACCAAATCCCACCTCCACTCATACAGCATGAAGATGGCCCTGAGGATGACCCACAGCTAGTAGGCATCACTGCTCAGAACATTCCGCGAGGACCCCAGCTGGCTGCCCAGAACTTGGGCATCAGCCTGGCCAACTTGTTGCTGAGCAAAGGAGCCAAAAACATCCTGGATGTTGCACGGCAGCTTAATGATGCCCATTAACTGGTCTGTGCGGCATGCCTGGGTTGCTGCTGTCCAGTACCCATTCTCATGCTAGCTGAGGAGCAATTACCCCAGGAGACTGAACAGCAGGGTCCAAGCCTTCCAGGGATTTGCCACACCATGAGGACTTGATGACTGCCTTGCCTCCTCAGTATGTGGGGGCTTCATCTCTTTAGAGAAATCCAAGCCACAGCCTTTGAATGTAACCAACTCTACTAATAAACCAGCTCTGAAGGTGCTTTTTGTTTTTCTTTCGTGGGGTGGGCAGGAAGATATGAACAAACACAAAGCCCTTTCACCCTTACTTCTGAGGCTGGGACTTTTGCCCAAAGTTCTCCTGGAACATCCTTTCTGCTTCTGCCTCAATAGTTTTCATTTCACACAGAATAAATTGTCTCCCAGAAACACTGAGAAACAGAGCCATAGTCTTAAATTCCTATGGTTTGTCCCTTCTCTAGTTAACAGTAGAGCCTATTTTATTGCATGGTCCCTCCCACCCCCACTATCTCGGGAAGGTATACAAAGTCACTAATTCTACACCCTCTTGCAAAATGAAAACAAACGCTCCATTTAAAAAAGAAACAATCCTTTAATAAAATTAGTCCATCTAAAACTCCCCAATGCCTCAGGTTCTAGTCTTGGAAGGGTTAGCTGCAAAATTCCAGTTCGGAAGCCAACAGAGGCTCAGTCCAGACAGGGATTAACCAACTTGTGCTGGTATCTAGGTGCTTGGATTGCCGAGTAGAGTTTGCTGGAAGGGAAATGGGGCAGCGTGGGGAGGCCTGACAGGCCTGGCTGCCAGTTGGCTTCTGCGAAAACGACTCTTGCTGTCCACATAGCCAGCCGTGAAGCCGAACTGCAGACCTCTACCCTCCCCCAAATGTCCTCCTAGGAGGCAGTCACTCGGGAGGAAGATGTGCCTGTTACCAAGTGTTTCGTCCCGGCCCCAGGGCAGACCTATGAATGAAGATGGAGATCTGACGTGAAAGGCCTGAGTCCTGGCCGCAGAGGGGGCGCCAGACGGAAATCAGCGAGCGTATCTCTCCCTCCAAAGCCTCCAGGCCAGCGGCCACGTCTGGAAGTCCTGGGCTAAGCACCACGACGGGGGAGGACCAGATGCCCCGGCTGCAGCTGCCGAGGGACTCACTCACCTTCAGGGCCGCCGGCCTCTTGGCCTGGGCTGCCCACCTCGGCCCTGCGTCAGAGAGGAAGGCTAAGTCTTCCAGAAGGTGCTGCGGCCTCCCCGCAGCCCCTCAGCGACTCAGGATGGGGCGGCTGAGTCACGAGCGCCGAGGCGGGCAGGTGCTGCGTCGCCGGTCTCCCCCCGGCAGGCTCGGGTCCTCCGCGCCACGGCGGTCACCGAAGAGCGCCCCAGCCCTACCGGAGACCGGCCGGCGGACTTGGCAGGGCCCGAGGCCGACGAGGCCGGGGGTGCGGGCCAGGAGCGGGGGCGGACGGGGACTCCAGGCCGGGCGGCGGGCGAGGGGAGGGGAAGGGAGGCGAGAGCCGCGGCCTGCTTGCTCCGCAGTCTGAAGTGGCTCAGCTCTTTCCGTGAGGGCGGTGGTGGCCCTTAAAAGGGCCTTTGTGGTGGCATGGGGAGGCCTGGCGGCCGGCCGCGACGCGGGCCCTCTTAGTACTCCTGTGAGGCCTGGGTGGCCTTCTTGCCGCCCGAGGGCGCCTTCGGCCCCACGGTGGCGCTGGTCTTCTTGGGCAGCAGCACGGCCTGGATGTTGGGCAGAACGCCTCCCTGGGCGATCGTTACGCCGCCCAGCAGTTTGTTGAGCTCCTCGTCGTTGCGGATGGCCAGCTGCAGGTGGCGGGGGATGATCCGCGTCTTCTTGTTGTCGCGGGCCGCATTGCCCGCCAGCTCCAGGATCTCAGCGGTGAGGTACTCCAACACTGCCGCCAGGTACACTGGCGCGCCGGCGCCAACGCGCTCGGCGTAGTGGCCCTTCCGCAGCAGCCGGTGTACGCGGCCCACGGGGAACTGGAGGCCGGCACGCGACGAGCGCGACTTGGCTTTGGCGCGGGCCTTGCCGCCAGTCTTGCCGCGGCCCGACATGCTAGCGAGGTAGACCGGTGAAGCTCAACGGCTCAGAAACAGCACGACAAACACCCTCCGCAGTCCAACTACTGTCGTGCGCGCGCGCGCGCCGAGAGGCCGTCTTTATAGCCCCCAGGACACACCTCCGCACCCTCCTGATTGGCTATTTTCTCCAGTACCCTCCTCCGATTGGTTGCGATTAACCCTTGGGTGTCGCGCCTCTGCTGAGGTAGCGCGCCCGTTGATTGGTCGAATTTGAAAACCTTTTGCCCGGGGAGAAAAGGCGAGAAGGAGGGGTAGCGCGGAGACGGCCAACCACCCGCGAATGTAGCCAATCCTTGTAAAGCGCGCGAGATTTAAACGGTACAGTCGGAAACCAGAAGCTGAAGACAAAAGGGGTGGTCAGAGGCCACCTAGAAAGCTTCTGGGAAATTGTGCTGGCGTAGGAATTTTAAAGGACAGGGGTCAATACTGCAGCTACCGCTGCCTCCTTTTCCAGGCCAGGTCACTCCATACCCTTCTCCTACCTGGCAAAGGGAGAAAGGGAAAGGGAAGAAATGAGACCCCTTAATGTTTTTTCTTTTTTCTTTAATAGACGGGGTCTCGCTGTGTCACCCAGGCGGGAGTGCAGTGGTGTGATCTCGGCTTACTGCAGCCTCGAACTCCTGGGCTCAAGGGATCTTCCCTGGTCAACCTCCCTAATAGCTCTTACTCTAAGCGCCCCCCACCACAGTTGGCTAATTATTTTATTTTTGTGGAGACAGTCTCATTTTGTTGCCCAGGCTGTCTTGAATTCCTGGGCTCAAGCAATCCTCCTGCCTCGGCCTCCTAAAGTGTTGGGATTACAGGTGTGAGCCACCATACCCAGTGACTCTCTGAAAGTTTGATCCCATTCCAGGAAACGGGATAACTTCAATCTTGTGGCCCTCCATGCCACCTGAAGTATCAGGATTTCTTTTTTTCTTTTCTTTTTTTTTTTTTTTTTGAGACAGAGTCTGGCTCTGTTGCCCAGGCTGGAGTCAGTGGCACATCTTGGCTCACTGCAACATCCGCCTCCCAGGTTCAAGCAATTCTCCTGCCTCAGCCTCCAGAGTAGTTGGGACTACAGGCGCACACCACCACATCTGGCTAATTTTTGTATTTTTCGTAGACACGGGGTTTCACCATATTAGCCAGGCTGGTGTCAAACTCCTGACCTCGTGATCCATCTGCCTCAGGCTCCCAAAGTGCTGGGATTACAGGCATGAGCCACCATGCCCAGCCAGGATTTCAATATTTATTCAACGTGTTCTGTTTGGTCTCAGTTCTGTTCATGTCTTGCTAGAAGAAGAAAGGAGAGAGGAGGCCACTATTTGAACCCTCCTCCGTGGCTAATTAAGGTGGAGTCAACCTGAGATCTGTTTCTGGCTCTGCTGTTTACTGCTATCAGAACCACTATGAGTATCATATTATGCAAGGGAGAGAGATAGGCATCCTGTTGGAGGAAGTACTCTCACCAACCCTCTCAATCTATCCAAAAATGCTCATATAGGAAATATACCTACAAGAACAATAAGAAAAAGACAACACTTTATTGTCTGCATTGGGAGCATGTGGCCCCCTGCTCAGCTCTTACTAATCAGAACACTTAATTTACAATCAAATGACATGTCACCTTGGAGCCTGTGTCCCTAGCCCTGGCCTAAGTTCTATCCCAAAGACCAGCAGTTCCTTGAAAGTCAGGACTCTGAAATTTGAGTGTGGATAACTGCAAAAAAAAAAAAAACAAACAAAAAACTGCTGCATCCCACCCTATGAGGCTGCAAAGATGGGATGGAGAGGGAGAGAGTGGCAAGTTGCAGGAGGCCATAGGCAAAGTCCAATCAGTCGTCAGTAGAGGACAAGAAACGCCCAGGATGCCAGTGATCACAGGGAAAGGAAAATGCTGAGAACAAAATCTGGAGGAGCATGAAAAGTGAGACGCCTTGGCCAGGAGGCAGTCTTGGTCCAGAGAGAGGTCAGCCTGAGTGAGGAATCCTAGAGACTGTGAGGTAAAGGACAATGATCAAGGGACTCAGACATCATAGAAGAGTCGGACGAGCTGGTATCGAATGGAGAAGGTGATGGCACTGCCCAGGATCTGCAAGGAGAAATAGGCTGGAGTAAGAATCATGAAGAAAGGGGGACAAGGAGAAGTAAACCCTATCCCCATCCTCACCTGCAACAGCAGCAGGAGCAATGTGAGGTTTCTCTCATGTATGGGCCCAAAGATTTTAAGTAGCAAGTTGATGAGGGTCATGTTGTTACATTCAGTGAATTCACCATCCTCAGTCTCACTTTGGTGGATTGTCACCAGCCGGAGGCTATCTGCCACCTGAAGGGGCCAGAGGTGAAGAGAACTTCAGCTAATACCTATGCTTCAGGAATGTGGCTCTGTTTAATGCTTCCAAGTTCCCCTTGGATCTGATGTAGGCCTAAGTTCCCCATTCCTCAAGGTCAGGATGGCAACCTAGGGCCTTACCTCCTTGTTACCCTGTTACCTTTAAAATAAAGGTGCCCAAGAAAGAGAGGCTCTTGGTCTTGAACTTGGAATAGCTCATCTCCAGTTTGCCTGTCTTGATATTGAGTCTGCAGGGGGAAGATAGCTTCATGTGACTGGGCCACTATTTGAACCCTCCTCCCTGTAGCTAATTAATAGGAAAAGTATTGAAGGTGGAGTCAACCTGAGATCTATTTCTGATAGCTGCTTACTGCTATCAGAACCACTGTGAGTATCAGATTATGCAAGTAAATGTGCTTTGTAAGTTATAAAGGGCTACTCACATGGAAATAGTCCTTGTTTGGGCCTACTCCCTTTGCACAGCAAATGTATAGGCTTGCATTAGATATCCCAAGTGAAAAGGCTATGATGTCCATTTCAAGCCCCAAAGTGGCTACCTGGGTATGCGGTGGCGAGGGCAGGGGATGATATGCAGGAGCTGAGGCAGTGAGTAGAGGAAGTTGAACACCTGGGGCATGAAGAATAGTAGCATGGTCTTGCTGAAGTGTCCCAAGATTCCCACCACGGCAAAGGTCATGCCAGCAAAGTAACAGAAGGTATCTCCCACAAACACCCGTGATGGGTACCTGTGTGGGGGAGAGGATCTGAGCCAGTGGCAAGAGGCACTACCAACCCTTTCTCTCACATCACACCCTGTGGGCACTGGACTGGCCCTGACCCTAGTTCTGACTCAGAGGAGACTCCAGTTGCGCAGCAATTCTGCAGGATCCAAGGCCCTGAATTCATCTGTTCCTGGGGCCTCCACGCACTCATCCCAAACTACTGCTGGGTAGAGAGAAATTTCAGAATACGATCAACTGAAGATGCGGAAAACTCCACAGAGGTATGCACAGATTTAGCCTCTCCACCACAAGGTGGGTTATGATAAGGACCATCTTTACCATGTGTTCAGGTACTTGCCCCCCTAATCCAAGGCCTACTTACCAGTTGTGGTAGAGCAATCCCAAAGTGGTGAAAAAAAAGGGTATCATGAAGTAGAGGGAAAAGACATGATCATCTCGACAATCACCTTTGGAAGCAAGGAAGAAAGAAGGAAAAGTTAATACCCACTTCCCCTGAATACCTTGATCCTATTTTTGTCTAAGTTCTGTTTATAGCTGTATCATCTACCTCACCCAAGTCACTTTCAAGAACTCAATACCCCTTTTATGTCACCCAAGGCAACTCCCAATATTCTACCTCTCTCATGAAGCCTTCCTAAACTAGTTACTGTCTTAAATTTGGTTTAGACCATTCTGACATAAGTTTGGATACCAACTTAACTTCTTAGCTGTATGACGTTGATCTTGATCATCACATATTTAACTTCTCTAAGCCTGTTTTCTCATCTGTAAAATAGGGCTGATTATAACATCTGCCACATAGAACCATTATAAGATTTAAATAAGACAGTGTTTAAAAAGTACTTAGCTTTAATAAGCACTTGTTGATGTTCATCAGCCAAAGACCACTAGAAACGCATCTATAGTTCAAAGCTAGGTTTAATGACTTGTAAAAAGGGAGATTTCAGAAACCACATGCCACTGAGAACCACAGAATGTCTCAGTAAGACAGTGTTAGGAGGGGCTTGTAGTAGGATTTGTTTTGAGTATTTTGGGAGAGGATGAAAGAAAGTAGAGTTTTGCTCTAGACTGTTAAAAAGCAGAAGTAATTCTATGATCAAGCATTTTAATGTTTAAGAAGTGGCAGGAACTGGCTGGGCACAGGAGCTCAAAAGTGTAATCCCAGCACTTTGGGAGGCCAAGGCTGGCAGATCAGTTGAGCCCAGGAGTTCAAGACCAGCCTAGGTAACATGGTGAAACCCTGTCTCTACAAAAAATACAAAAATTTGTCAGGTGTGGTGGCACATGCCTGTAGTCCCAGCTACTCGAGAAGCTGAGGCAGGAGGATCATTTGAGTTGGAGGATACAGTGAGCTAAGATCACGCCACCACACTCTAGCCTGGGCAACAGAGGAGGAGACCTTGTTTCAAAAAAAAAAAAAAAATGTGGTAGGAACTGAGTTGTTACTGGAAAGCAGCAGCAGCAGTTGCTAATGTTAGCCGAGAGAAGGATCTTGGCCATTTTGTGGGTTGCTCAGTGATCTTGTGATTTTGTCTGTACTCAAACACGATTATAGAGGGAGAGGTCTAGTTTTGGTCTCACTCCATTATGGTCACAGAGTGACCCTGTGTAATGATGGGGTTCTGTGAAACTTTATATTCAATGGGAGAAGATCATAATCAAGCTATTAGTGTCAATCCAGCTATAAATGATGGGGCTGCTATTTTTCTTTCTCACTTTTAATAAATCTGCATTGTTATTTGCAAAGTAAGTAGCTTCCTTTATCTTTTATAATTACTAAACCTGTTTTTTTTTCTGAGTTTCCCAAAGCTATATTTCAGGCCACACCTTTAACACTCAGACTTCTCTCTCCCCACCCTCAATTCCACCTACCTTCCAACTCTACAAGGTTGAAGACAATGATGGAAGCAGAAATGACTAGTGACTGGCCAGCCTCTAGGCCGTTAATTCCTGCTAGGATATTGATGGCATTGGTACAGAACACTGCCAGCAGCCCCATGTAGACATAGTACAGGATTCCTGGGGGGAGACATGGTAGGAAAAGAAGTAGTGCCACCTAGGGGAAGAGGATTTAAGAATTTGAGAAAAGTGGTGAGGACAGAGGGTAAAATGAAGGGTCACCGAAAAGGATCTGGGCAGGCACAAAGACAGAAAAGGAACACTTGGAGGAGAATGTGGAGCACCAGGAAGGGTGCCCTGAAGTAGGTGCCATAGGAGCAGCAGTGGCAGGACTACTTACCCAAGTCCAGATGCAGGCCAAGAATCGGGCGGAAGGGCTTGGGCACCACGATGGTCGTGTTGCCAAAGTTGGTGAAATAGACCATGAGGAGAGGTAGTGAGGCAGCTGTGGGTAGCAGCAGCTTATGGCGCCAGCGCAGATTCAGTACATCATCCGCAAAGCCCAGGAAGATCATGCAGCAGATGGCAAGGAGGGCACCTATCAGGGCCACAAACTGGGGGAGGCTCGGGCGGTCCATGACTCAAGCCTGCTCCCATTCCACCTTTTAAGAATTCCTGTCTTTTCTGATCATTTCTTAGCCCCTCCCCCCAAGCCCAAATAACCCCAATTCTCTCAGGTACCTCCCAGATCCCAGCCACAAGCAACCACCCCCATGAACCCACTTACTTCATGGTGGGGGAATGCCTTACACTGCTCCTTCACAAAACAGTTCAGGAAGGGGAAAGGAATGAAGCAGAAGAGGATGATAAGGAAAACTGCACCGCTGATCACTCCCTGGGATTCTGGGCTGTGGCCCAGCAGCAAGGAGGCGAGGGGAGGCGGGGAGGAAAGGGGGCGTGGTCACTCACTAGTGCAGATATTACAATAACCCAAAGTGATCTTCTCATTCCCAGTTCTTTATTTTGGGAAGTGGTGAGGGGGGCGGAGGGGGGGAGAGCACCACTCTTAGAGTCCCTAAACACTCAAGGGTCCCTACCCATCCCTTCCCCAATGCAGTAAGTTCTGCCCATCACCTCTCTGAGTCCCAGGCTGTCTGGGTTAGTTCTGAGTCTCCACGAATGGTCTAACACCCTGGTCCCCGCCCCCACCCTGGCTACTCCTTCCTTAGCCCTTAGCCCTTAGCCCTTGCCTCCTGCCCGGACCCGTGTACGGCTGCTCACATCTGCTGTCGGCTGGATTTGTTGAGGTCCTGACCACAGAGGCGCGCAGCGATGAAGTGGCCCCGGAAGGCCGGGATGAGGGTGACTGTGGCCACAAATCCCAGCAACGAGACAATCAAATTCACCAGCAGCGGCATGGGCAATTCCGGTAAGGCCCACATGGTGACCGGTCAGGGGCCCGGCTCCGCTGCCTCCTCAGGTAACGGGCAAGCTGAGCAGCAGTCCTGAGGCCTCAGCGGTATGGAGTGGCCGCTCCCCACAGGCAGGCTCTTCCCACACCAATCTGAGCAAAACCCAACAACTGTGACTTGAGCCGCCTTCGGGACCCCTGAAAACCTCTCTAAAGCAACCTAGGTTCTGCCTCGCTGCACCTGCCTACCTACTGTTTCCGCCCGGATCTTATTCGCTGAACAACTATCACTGCGGAAGGCGGCGGCCGCCATTTTTAATATGGGCACTAGAGTGTGGAGGTGGGGGTGGAAGAAAAGTATGATTCTATAATTTCATCCTTTGTTCGAGAGTGGAATCATCGCGAGAGTATTGGAAAAGCAATTAAAGAAAGGCAGCCAAGAACAGATGCTTCCCTAACATTATGTTAAAGATACTTCCAGAGCCGAAATGCCAGTTGCCCTGTTCCAAGATGAATGCCTCCTTGTACCACGTGTCTGACACCGCTCACATTCCGGTTGACGTCAGTTTTAGCTCCGTCCGCCTTCGTAGGTCAAGTCTAAAGGGCCAGTACCCCGCCCTTAATCTGGGAGGCCTCCGGCTCCAGGAAGATGGCTATTGAAAGGCAGGGGGTGGGGAGCAGGTTCGAGGGTGTGGAGCTGCGCCTGTTCCTTGCAGGAAACTTGTTGCCAAGGTAATCGGAAGCCAAGGTAAACACAGCTCAGTTCCCGGAAACGCAGCTAAGATTTGGAAGGATGGTGTAAACTCTAAAGCGTAGATCCTTGAAAAGCCCCTCCCAGGCCGGGCGCGGTGGCTCACGCCTATAATCCCAGCACTTTGGGAGGCCGAGGCGGGTGGATCGCGAGGTCAAGATATCGAGACCATCTGGTCAACGTGGTGAAACCCCGTCTCTACTAAAAATACAAAAATTAGTTGGGCATGGTGGCGCATGCCTGTAGTCCCAGCTACTCGGGAGGCTAAGGCAGGAGAATTGCTTGAACCCAGGAGGCAGAGGTTGCGGTGAGCCGAGATCGCGCCATTGCACTCCAGCCTGGGTAATAAGAGCGAAACTCCGCCTCAAAAAAAGAAAAAAGGAAAAGCCCCTCCCACTCTGTTTTTCTTGTCTTCGATGCTGGTATTTTTTTCTCAACATCTCACTCACTTTCTGCCCCAACTGTAGCAGTTAGTTGCCCGGCAACCGAGCTCAGCACTTCAGTGAGGGATTGTGAGTACCCTCAGGTCTTGGGTAACTCGAGACTTCTGCTTGGTCCTGGATCACTGCATTGTACCAAGCTCCCATAAGGAGGAGATGGAGATTTCAAGGCTCTGGAAAGAGCTGAGGAGGCAGAGAAATCAGACTCACAACTGGCTTCCTGTAAGCCTGAGGAACTCACAGTCAGTTTTTTTCCTGCAGATCACTATGCATTTTGCTTGGCCTGTGCCCCTGCAAACAATTCACCAGTATCTTTTTTTTTTTTTTTTTTTTTTTTTTTTTT